CAATGAATTTGTGCATAATATGTCTGTCTGGAAAATTACAGTGCACAAACTTTAAAATGTATAAATATTTACGCTCTTGTTTCCACTGTTGTCATATTTGTAATTGCTGTTTTGCAGAGGCCCGAACCCCAGCAAGGTGCTGCAGCAGCTGTTGATGCTCCAGCCGGAGCAGCAGCTCAGCATCTTCCACACACTGCACTCCCAGCTGAGAGAGAGGGGCATGCTGCCCCCCGCCGCCGCCCAGGCTGAGTGAAGAGGCCGCCGGCTTCACGGGGTGATGACTGGAGAGAGACAGAGAGAGAGAGAGAGAGGTGGAGAGTGTGTGATGGTCTGGAGAGTTTAAGTCAGGTAAGCATGTATACACACACACACACACACACACGCGCACAGACACACACACTCTTTAAGTATGCCCGTATGGTGTGTGTGTGATCCCAGGCGTCTCTCAGAGCGTCCGTCGTCATCCTGCCGCCTCTTCATTCGACTCCAACCAGCTGAAAATCACGACTCTACAGACTACGTGGAAGAACCTCGTAGTAACTAAAGGAAAAAAAACAACAACAAAAAAACAACAACAACAACAACAACACAACAACAAAAACGGGCCGGCTTCGTTGCTTTTCCCACATGGACCGGCACATAAACTATGACACGCCTCATGAGCGAACAGGCAGCCCCCCATCCTGAAGACTCACAGACTGGAGATAAAACGTCTCATCAAACACAAACGGACTTTAAAGCACACGGCTCTCTCAGCGCAGGGTGGATGGTGGATGTGCGGTTTCCCCGTGGACCGCAAATATTGCACTGACTTCAGCTGAACACACGGATTTAAGAAGCTTTTACCAGCATAAACTGGGCCCAGATTTTGTTTTTGTTTTTTTGTTTTTTTTTTGGGCACGTGGACCTGAGCTACAGCGAACAGACTGTTGAGACTCGTCTTTCTGGGGTTTTTCGGGGTGCGGGGGAAGTAACGACGCAGCAGGGTTGTCGAACATACTGTAGACACTGTTTTATAGACTATGCTCTATTTCATGATCTTAACCTCACAGCGCAACAAAAAACATGTAGCATGTTCGCGAGTCCTGTCCCGGGCTTCTGCTAAACTAAGCCATGTTTATTCTCCTCTTCCACAGCGTGAACTCTTAGCTTTTAGGTTTCTGTCTGACTCTTTAACTAACTCGCACAATGTTGAGTCAATAATGTTTGACTGTAGGCATGTTAACGCAGACACTAGAGCATCAGCTGTGCACTCAACACGCAAGTTAATGTATTGTACATAGATAGATATATTGAAGATATTTAGCTGAACAAATACCTAATATATAATAACTACTCATGTGACCTGCTGGGGGAAAAAGAACACTTTTAAACTATGAGGAATAATATGCAAAACAAAAAAAGGAGATGTAACTCATTTGTAGCCTTTAGCATGAACAAATTAGATTTTTAACAGGTAGGGATGTAGATTTGATCTGAGGTTGCTGCTTATTTAGAGGGTGAACTTTTACTAGAGAATGTAATAAGAATTTAAAGGAAGAGTTTGACATTTGGGAAACATGCTTGTTTGGTTTTTTCTTTTACTGAGGATTAGATGAGAAGATTGATACCACTCCAGTCTCTGTGGAGCGAGAGCCAGGAGGCAATTAGCTTAGCTTAGCATAAAGACTGGAAGTGGGGGGAAAATGCTAGCCTCAGTTAACAACGGCTAGGTGCAGTAACTTCCCATAGTTTTCTTGCCACAGTAATCAGACAAGTGCAAACAGTTAATAAGAATTAATGCACAGAATTAAGAGCAGATCCATACATTTATAAAGGAGCTAACTACAATGCTAACGACTAGCATTCTAGCTTTTTAGAGACAGTGTAGTGACCTAGATCCAAGGGGGCCAGTTGCACAAACACTTAAAGTTTATTTTCTCCTTAGCTGAGGGAGTTGCTGCTGTCTCATCCTCCTGTTGTTTTGACGGGAACTTCACTTTTTAAAGCATTTAAACTTGGAGAGCGACACGGCACACCGCTGTCGTGTCGACTATGATGACCAGACGTCCCTGTTTTCTGGAGCAGGAGTCCGACAGAGGGGGCTGCTAGCTATTGCACCTTCAGAAATGAAGCTAAAACCTTCAAAATAGAGTTAGAGTTCTTTCTTCTTTTTTTTTGTGTTGTTTCTAGGCGAAGAAAACGTCAGCTGGCTCACTCATTGGTTAGTTAGTTCATAACGGGGCAGTAAACTAATAAAAACAAACATACACAAAGCCCCCCAGCCAGAACTTGAAGAAATAGTTTTTATATTGGACCCTTACGAACTAAAGAAATATAAATAATTGTGGATTAGACAGGCACTCAGACCTCACAACTGCTTCAAAGGTAGGGAGTTGTAGTTTTATCAGTCCTCCTTCACTATAGTTTACAGAGTACAACAGTTACCACGGTGAAAATACATGAAACAGGGACTGTTCCTCTTTTTTATTTAATAGGTAAAAACATTGGATATATTAAAAATATATTGACTGTTGAACTGGAAATATCCCCGGTCTTCCTTTCAGAAATCTGGTCACTTTACTGTGGACATGAAATACCTCAACTAACTGACTGGAAAGATCCGTAACCATTAATAATGAAGGAGCTGGAACGAGCACAGCTTCGGAAAGCTGAGTAATCCACCTCGTAGACGGTTTGACAACTCATAAACTGACTGCCGGTTAAATCTGTACTGTAGAATCAATTCCTAATCGCTAAGGGTGTCCATCGGGTTCACCCACTCCTCTTGGGATGAGTTCATTTCCTTGATTTATCACCGTAGACCAGGTCACGTTGCAGATAAGAGAGTAAGAGGCACTTTTAGTGTTTTTTTCTTAGTTTTGTTGCTAATTTCTTCTGAGCAACGGTTTGATCAACTTTAAATGATTCTTAAGTATAAGACTAAGATAAAGAGAAAATATTAAATACTTTAAGAAAACCTTAAGGAGAAGACTTGAAGGTTTTCGTGCAACCATTTTTATTTTAAGGAAAACTTAACTCAGACTTGAAGGAAAATCTTAACTTAAGGTGTTTTGTGCAACTAGTCCCAGGAAATCATAAGTCTAAAATAGAGTAAAATTGTTACTGCCATCAACGACACGACCCCATGAGATGTGAACTGTGGGGGCAAAAGTTTAAAGTTTACTTTAACTTTAGTGGAAAATAGCCGAGGTGTGGCTCCAATGAAAATAATGACCTCAGTTGAATTTCTTCTCATCTAACTCTCTGAAAGGAAACAAATACGCACTTTTCCCAAAATGTGTGAACTAGTCCTTTAAAGATAAACGACCGTGCTTCCTTTATCGATTTAACCAATGATTTTAGTTGCACTGTAGCGGTGGAGGTGGGAGGGGGGCGGGGCTGGAGGGGGCGTAGGACCCATCAGACCTCTCTGACAGGGTCCCACATCCTCCATGTTTGTTAAGCTCTTGAAGAAAAACTTTCTATTTTAGTCTTCTTACACGTTAAATCACTGTTGTATGATTTAAGTTTTGAATGTAGTTTGCAAACGAAGATGTTATCGACGATAAGATCTGAGTACACGTGGAGCCGAGATGCTGTTCGATATGTGCGTATATACAGTATAGGCAGTACTGTATTTACACATATGTTCAAGTATATAAAAAAATCTGATCCATTCTGATGGTTATATGAGCAATATTTTAATCTTATGCAAGTTGAAGTTTGGATTGGATCGTTAAAATCTGCACGAAATCTGCTGCACGTCTGATGAACCAAGTTTCACCAGCGTGACGAACCAGATGATGCATCATGAGCGTGTAACGAGGCTGCGTTTGCGATGAGATTTCTCTGACTGAATCCAGAGATAAATGTTTACCAAAGCACTGTCTGATTAACACTGATTTCCTCTTATTACTGAGAAAAAGCTCCAGGGTCCAGGTCCGAGCGGTCGTGTCCTTCCTGTTTCGACTTCCTGTCCTTGTTCTGAGAAATGAGGAGAGTTGGGGAGCTGGGCGGCAGACTGGGGTACTAACATTTACATCCGTGGTCCGTGCAATGAGTTTTATTTTATTCTCTTCCCTTCCTTCAGTTGTTGGACGAGGAGGATGTTTTAATTTATTTGTCCAGTTTGCTCAGTTTCCTCATAGAAGTGCATTTTAGCGTGTTTTCCCCATTGGAAGTGAATGGGGTGGGGAGGGGCGGGGGGGTGGGGGTTTTGCTGGGTGGATTTTTGGGACCAGCTGTATTGCTCTGTGTAAAGCTAAAACTCAAACACACACACTACTGCTTTACAGGCTTTTCTGTGTTCAACCTTCACTGTCCAACAAGATGAAGAAAAAGCACGTAAACATCTGGACAGAAGCAATCAGACCAAAAACAGGCGACAAAAATCAACACAGACGGTCACATTACTAAAGCTGTTGTTTGGAGTCTCGAGGGTGTCACCGGAATAATTAAACACCGTAACTCATCAAATTAATGTGTTTTAAAGAACTAAAGTTTACATGTAATGATGCTATTTCATACTATGAAATGTTGAAACTGTACAAAGTTATAAAATTATCATGTTCTACTATTTCTTTTTGTGTCTCCCATGAATAATAGATGGATTTTAAATTTGATTTTTAAATTAAATATTTTTGATTAGTTGATTTATTGTTTTCTCTGTAAAATGTCAAAAAAAAAAAAAAATTCCTGGTCCAACCTGATGAAGAGTCTAAAACAGATCAATTATCAATCATTTTTACTGGTTGTACATTTAATAACTTTCCATAGTTTCATTTAAATACATCGATAATTATTATAATTAAGAATTGAAATATTCCATTGGCACGTTCGAGACTCCACAGTGGTTCAGTCGTAGTTCAGATTAGACTAATTTATATTTTTATTCAAGGTAAGAAGGTAAAACACAAACGTCAAGGTAGGAAAGAAAGAGGTAGATTCAGACGCCCCAAATGTCAGGTAACGACGCACTGCTGATGTTTGGTCGCTCGTCTTTTTAATTGATCATTTTGTGTATATTTTGTTTTTGATTTGCTTTTGAGAAGAAATGTTTTCTAATGATAATCTATAGCTTTTGGAGTGGATAATATTTAAAATGATACTGAGGAAGTATGCTGTTAATATATGGGCAACACAAAGTTGTGTATAAACCACATATTGATACGTTGTTAGGGGATATTCAAGCTGTTTACTGTATGGAGGTGAATAAAGATGTTTTTTTTTTTTCTTTAAATGATCTGTTTCATGTTCATTTTTAAAAAATAACGAGACAAAGAATTTAGTTTCACATTAAAGGAACAACTTCAGATTTATTCACAAAACAATGCAGTGTTTGAACTCATGTAGCCATTACAAACAAACACACATCCAAGCATTGACAATAGAAATCTGTTCCACTGACTTTAACAAACACATTATGCCGGAGGAGTGACAACGAGAGAAAGACGGTTTTAATTTGATGTCAAAGGAAAATAAAGGGGGGTAAGGATTGCGCTGCTAGAAGCGAGTGTTGGGACTCAAGAGAAGCTACGTTTCTGTAGCTTGGAAAATATTGAATAAAATATTCAAATACAGATTTTTATATTGGGGGAAAATGTTAATTGTTTCAGATCCAAAGAGCATCATGATGAAAGGCAAACAAATTCAGGTATTTATTCCTCCATCAAATCGGGAAAATAACTTTGATTTGACCAATGCTAGATATAAATACCCATAAAATAAAACCACACATAGTTTTAAATGCAGCTTCCTTCCTGGACTGAAAACAAGACATTCAAAACAACAACAACAAACACAAAAAAAGGCTGAAAATATGAAATGACACATGTCCAAACAATCACAAACAAGCTTTTCACCCGCCCACTTTTCCTTTGTCTTAAAAAGCGATACATCAACAGTATTTGTTTTGTTGTCACTCCTTTCCAGACTTAATATAACAAACGCTTCTCCATCATTAAAGTGCATTTAAGGTTTGAGTCCCCTTTGAGTCAGTATTAAACACATCTGTACGTCAAATCACAGCATATCATCACAGCAGTATCTCAGGACTGTTTAACACAAACAACAGTGACCCCTTCTGGACAAATCTAGTACTTCTCCTTTTCCAACACAAACAGAGTTTGTTCTGGTGTTTTTAAATAATATTGGATTGATGTGACTTTACAAAGGAAAACACCTGAAACTAGTTAATTTTCTGCAGTTTTAGGGGTCATTTAAATAACATGTCCTTGTGACATATTTGAAAAGGTGGGATTACATTGCAGTTAGTAGTCGTACACACAAATATCTGAATCAAAGCATTTTAAAATAGTGCAATTTGAAGTTTTATGGCGCTACCCGTTCAGTACAATGTTTAAAGTGCCCGACACTCCGTGACTTGTTCGTCTAACAGGTCAACTCAAACATTTATATCGCGACAAAACGTCTGAAAGGAGACGAAATTTGGTAAAACAAAACAACTTCCCTTGACGTGCCCTTGAGCAAATACTTCAACCATCAGCTGTCATGTGTGAATTTCTGCAGTTGAATGTGTCTGAACATGATCAGGAATTCATCTCTGGGTAAACAGAGGTTGAAAAATAATGATTTACCTTTTATTTATTCAGGTGAGTCCCATTGAGAAACCTGAATGTACATTAAAAAAAACAAAACAATTAATGAGCAAATAGATGGATAGAAAAAGAATTCACAATACAATTTAAATAAACAATTAAAACTACAAAACTGTAACATATAAAATGCCATAATTAAAACACAGCCATTTATCCAGTGAGGAAAAATAAAGTTAAAACAATTGCATTCTGTTTTGGGACGGTTTGAAATGTTGTTTCTAAAATGTGGATAACTTATAAGACTATCATTGTTTTGAAGAACTATATTGTCTTCAGCATCAAATCCAAATGCTGTCTTTCCAAATTCAGAATTAACTTTAGGTACGGTACATTGACTGTTAGCCGATCATGTGACCCGAGTTTTGGCGCGTACCAACTGATCTGACCGGGAGAGATGTAATGGAAGGTGGTATGTTATCAATAACGGCCTTATAAGTAAATACGCACCAAATGCACGTCACGTCTCTCCGATACAGACGACCTGTACTTGGCACAGAAACTTAAATCCTAATTATAAAAAAAACCATCTTTCTGCTCTGTCGACCCTGCGTGTTTCAGGGTGAATGGAACGATAAGCTAAGTCATTCAGCTAGCTACATGATTTGAAGCCATCACTGAAAACAAGAAAACAGCCATTCTCAATTTTTACCATTTCCCGCTTTGGGATTGATAAAATCAAAGCGGGAAAAACCTTACTGAAGGTTGTTTCAAAAAAAAGTTGCTAATCACATCTAGCATAAGTATATTCTGCATGTTAGGTTTACAAGAATTTCATGAGTAGCTAGGCTTTGGCTGTCAGTATCCCTCACTACTCTGGTCCACTAAGTGTTTTCTTAACCTCTACAGAGTCCATATTCGCCTTCAACGTGTTTGGTCACATCTTTTCCAACGTGCACTGATTCCCTCCCGAGATTTGAACGAGGAGAATCCACTTTCCATTTTGTTCCTGGTTCAAACCCCAACGGGCTCCTCCTGATGAGAGGACAAATCTAAGCAGTAATGCCTCACAGCTCTGTCAGTTTTCTTCATTTTCTGTGGCCACTCCCCTTCAAGTTAGCTAGGTGACTAAAGCGTTGAATGGCACCCTCGTCTCGTCATCTTCCTCCTCTACAACAGTCCTTGGGTCGGGCCTGTCGGGACAGAAGATTTGCCGTAGCAGCGCTAGCCCGACGCGCACCAAGAGCCTCAACACAAGAAAAGCAAAAGGCACCGTGATCTCCATCAGGTGGAAAATTGAGGCGCTAAATTTACTCAGGATACATGTGAGGAAAAATGTCCCTAAAGCTACGCAGGGGTACAGAGCTAGCTTAGCGAGCATGAACACGTGCTCACGTCCACCGTACCGCACATACGGGTGCAGGGTTTCCTGCTCATTGTAAAGAGCGACCACCCAGATGGTGAGCTGAAATATACCTGCGAAGAAAATGATCACACAGCTAATCTGAATGGCTTCCAGTTCGTTGCGGGAGTTGCGCGGGAACTCGTGCGTCAGCTGATAGGCTAAAGGCAGACCTCCGACGAACGCCAACGAGAAGGTGTTCAGCAGGCCCATGAAGCGCGTCGTCTTGGTGACGTGGAGGAAGAGCGAGTGGTGGACAAACCAGAGAAGGCCGACGGTGGCGAAGGAACCGAAGTAGGCGAGATACTCCGGGCCGTAGGCCTGCAGAGCCGCGACCAGGCTGCCGCCAAACTGCTCCTTCACGACAGTTGGGTCGGGAACGTTGTCCTCACTGAAAGCAAGGAACCAGATTTATGTGATTCTCTACTCAAAGCAGCTTTAAACATGACAATAAAAAAATTAAGACACAATCCAAAACATCATTATCTCGAGATAATGGAATAATTACCTTGAGATAACGGAGCTTTGTTTTCTCGAGATAACAGGATAATTATTCCGTTATCTCGAGACAACAAATCTCCTTTTTCTTGAAAATAACGGGATAAAAAAGTATTAGCATGTATGGCCTTTCTTTCTACACACAGTATGCACCGTGTTATATCTGTGTCTTTATTTACCCCTTTAAGGTAATAAAGGGAAGCAAACCATATGTCCAGGATTAGAAGCGTTGCTACGATGGCGTAAACTCCGTCACTGAAAGCCTCCACTCGCTCTTTACTGAGGGGTTCATTAGGCAGGTAGGTGTAGAACAGCATGGAGTCTGGAGTCTCATCCACCTGACCTGAAAACGTACAAGATTATTTATTTATTTTTTTTGGTAATTCTGAACTAAATCTACATCCTCAATCTTAACACCTGACCAGAGGGTAAGAACATACACCTACCTGTCCGGTGAAAGTGTAGTGCTTACCGATTGCTTTGCTGCGACACCACTTCAAACACTGGGAGATGTAGGGCAGGAAGATGACAATGGCTAACAGCACGTAAGACTGGAAGACAAAAAGAAAATCATTAAAATCAATAATCAAAACATATTAACATCATCATTTAAAAAAAAAAAAAGAAAGAAAGAAAAAAGAAATGCCACCTACCAGCTCGAAGAAGATGAAGGAGAAGATGCTGGCGAAGAAGCACATGAGCGGCACTCTCATGATGACTTTGAGGATGTGGTGTTTATAGTAGATCTGGTTCTCCGAGATCTGAATCTGTTCGTTCAGCAGGAAGGGGCGACTGAAGGCGTACAACACAATCACCGACTACAGAAACAAAAGATACAGGATCATAATGTATGTGATTACACAGAAGCTACATTTTCAAAACAAAAAAACAAAAGCTATAATGTTGGAAGCATCTGATGTCAGGTCCACGTGTTTATTTGACATTCAAAATTAACAGAACAGTTCTGTATATTTAGGAAGATGCAGCTATTAATTTCAAGGTGATAAATCCACTTCTGTCTGGCCTCACCTGAATGACGCCGATCACCATCACACAACCACAAAACAGTAAAATCCCGAGGATTTTCTCTGGGAAAGTCGCCATTAAAGAAAACTGCAAAGAGAAAAAAGAAAACATCAGTCATCTAAACATTTATTTTAACAAAAACTGACTGAAGTTGCACTGAGCTGCTGCACTGACTCTTACTCACTGTGTATGGCAGAAAGGTTATCAGCATCATGCAGGCCTGAAATAGACCCGTAAGCAGAACTTCACATTAGAAGGAAGGAAGTGTGGTCGCCAAAGTAAAGTGCTAAAAGCACACTCAGTAAAATTCTCATCTCTCTCAGCAGTCCACCTTAATATACATGTTATTTTTGCTGTAATTATTATGCATTTTTTCTAGGAAATTAGTTGTTTCAAAAAAGCTAAGCTCATTAGCCTTCGTAATATCAGCTAAAATCTGATTTGAAGCCAATTAGACAATGAAAAATAACCAAAACCAGTCAAAACTAAAATATTTGACGAACCACAGGTAAGGAAGATTTATAAACTAGGAACCAGAGAGACGGCAGAAAAAGGACAACAAATTAAATGCACATTGACAAGAGGTATTAAAAAAAAGAAAGAAATATATGTACCTATTATGTAGAAACAAAATAACACAAAACTTGATAAATAATAAAAATAATAATAATACACTTTATTTGTATAGCATCTTTCATACACGAAATGTAGCACCATGAAAAGACATAAAATGAACATAAAAATATGTTAAAAACATTTTACAAAAAATTTATGTAAAATGAGATAAAATAATAGTAGAAATGAAATAAAAAAATACAATAAGAAAAATAAAGATTAGATAGAAAGCATAAAATAAACATCAGGAGACTCAATATGAATGTTATTTAAAACTAAACTCACTGTATATAATAAACTCAAAACGACCTCAGCAATACTTACGAGGTTCAGCAAGGCAAGGCAGTCGTCGATCCGTACGATCACTTGAAACAACCTGTGAAACATGAACACACACATACGTGATCAATAAAAAGAACACACCTGAAAATAGCTGCTGTGATAATAACATTATTAACTCACCTGATATGAGCCGCCCAGGCAACAGTCACTATCAGGAATGTCATTAAGTAAACAGCAATTTTTGTTGTGAGCAGCAGCTGAACGCTCTCTCTCAACTCCTGCAGCACATAGACACCAGGGTTTATAACCTTTAACCTTTTCACTCTGACTGAAAAAACATACGTGCAACAGGCTCAACAGTATCACAGTGACAACACTCCACGTTCTTCAAAACACATAATATTATGAAATAATAAATAAAAAATATTTATATTAAGCCTTGAAATCAGTCCGCACCTCATTATCCTCCATCTTCGTATGAGCAACAGGTAATATCTGTGGAAAGGTGAAACAGCGTTAGGAGCGACTTCAAGCTCTATTGTATGACTGACCCTGAATATTTGAATTTAAAAGTATTTGTCACTAAATATATAATATATACACAGAACATATACTGCTTTATTAATTAGTATTTTGCTTCATGTGTCAAGCTAACCTCTTAAAATATGACGTGATATAAACAGGATACATAGTAGTTAATACAATTAGTATTTATTGCTACTTCTTTGTCTCAATACACTTTGTAGTTTCTAGTACCTTTGATTTTTGTTGTGTCATGCTACATTTTAAAAAATGTTTTTTATTCTTTACTCACTTTATTCTATTCACTTATTTTACTGTTAATATGTTGTCTCTTTTATCTTTTCTTTTATTATTAATCCTCTTATGTTTGTTATTGTTTGCTAATGTTATTATAACTTTCCTAAAAGTATTTCATTGAATCTCGTTTTCAGTTTTCTTACTTGATTTGTCCTTTTCTTTTTAGCTCATCAGTCTGTGAAGCGCTTTGAACTGCACTAATCTGTATGAAAAGTGCTGTACAGATAAGGTTTGATTGATTGATAGATAGATTTTGTGTATCAAAAATGCTAGTAATGTATATACTGTTATAGTTTAATATTATTATTACTTATCAAAACTATGCATCTGCTCTCGCTGCTGTGACAGTTTCCTGTGTGGGATCAAGCTCCACCGCCACCAGCTGCAACATTGACAACACTGCTCACACACGGATGAATCATTATAATCCAATCACATTACATTATATATAATAGTACATATACATATATATATATATATATATTAGATAGGGGGCTGCATCATTCTGCATCATCTCACTAACTTTTACAAACTAATCAATTAATAATCAGCAGATTAATCCTAAGTGAAAATAATCATTAGTTGCAGTCATATGTAAAAATGCTACAGCTACAACTGTAAAATGCTCCTAACACATTAATGCATCAGTAATAATAATTTGATTATATATAATAGTCTTTATATAGTACATTTAATACTTTAGGCTCATTTTACTGACTATATTTAAAAACCTTTACTCACGTAAAACATGTAATATATAATTTTGGTATTATACTGATATTTTTTGTCAGTATTAGTACTTTTAATTACGTAGAGGATCTGAGTGCTTCCTCCCCCACAACATTTTACTGGTAACCTTCCTGAATATTGAGGAATATTTTGAATTTTTACATTTAAAACATCCTCCTCAAACAGATACAAATAATTGTGTTCCGCTCCTTCCTCCTGTCACTCCTTGGTCTCTGCAGGATCAGACCCTCGGTGGGTCACATCCTGGTGCACGGCTCGGTGCGTGTGTCTCACCATGACAGTGGCGATGATGGAGATGAGGGCGTCGCTGTAGGCCAGCAGTCTGTGGGAGGACTGGGTGCTGCTGTGGCCCTCTCTGTCGGATGGACTGACGCTCCCCAGGAACGAGGAGGATGCTGCGTGGCTCCTCGTGCCCTTCTTCTCCATCTCCTCCTCGACGTGGTGCTCTATGATGTCGCTGTCGTCGTTTTCCCCCATCGTGGAGGAGCTACTGGGGGCGCAGGGGCCGCGGCAGACACCATACGGACCCCGCGGACGGAACTGTTTGCAAACAGCCGACTGACAGCTGACTGAGGGCGGGGAAACAGGAAGCTGCTGTCCGCTTGTTTTCCTGTTCCCGGAAAAGATCGTCGATAGCGTGTGAGTAGCCACTCGGTAGTTAAAAACGGATCCAGGAAGTGTAAGACAGATACGGTATGTTTCCCAAAACTGTAACAACTTCGTTTTACTTTCTTTTTTTTTTTTTTATGTGTACCATATGTTTGGTCTACAGATTTAGTACTTTTTATTTTTGTTGTGTCATGCTTCATTTTAAAACACTTTATTTTGTTCACTCTGTTCACACTGTAATTATGTTGTAAACAGTATTTTATTATATTTTACCCGTTCTTGAATTGTTAAAATTATATATTATATATAATATATATGCAGATGGTGGACTTAAACATGTACAAAGCAAACTGTCAAGAAGCATTTCAGTTCTGAGCAAAGCAAAACACATTCTGGACCACAAATCACTCCACATTCTCTACTGTTCACTGATTTTACCATATTTACAATACTGTGCAGAGGTTTGGGGCAATACTTATAAATGTACAATACAATCTCTATCCATACTGCAGAAAAGAGCTATAAGAATAATTCATAATACCGGTTATAGAGATCACACAAATTCACTATTCTTAAAATCAAAAATATTAAAATTCACTGACCTAGTTCATTTCCAAACAGCACAAATTATGTTGTTGGGGGTTATAATCTGAGGGGTGAGTTCAACTTAAAACATCAGTGGGCACATACAACACTAAAAAGTTTTTGTCTGTCAGTTTGTGGAGTGAGGCTGTGGAACAGACTGGGTGTGGAGCTCAAGCAATGTCCAAGCATGATCCAGTTTAAAAAGCGGTACAAACACATGGTTTTCACGAGGTACAGGGAGGAAGAAGGGCTTTAATAATGATGTTTTCATAAATGACAAATGATTTATGTATTTGTTTATTTAATCTATTTATTTTCTACTTCTTTGGGCAAAGAACACGTAGCTTTACTTTTAAATGTCAGCTTTGGTGGTTGTGCTGTAAATGTGCAATATAAGATGTGGCCAGAACTCTAATCAAGACCTCCATCTGTTGTATTTCAGAGTCATCTACTAAAATGAGCATGCGCACCAGCCAGCCCCGACCTGTCCTGTGTTGTAATGCCACTTTGTGACACTAGACGCTGTGTGAGTCGGTGGCGCGTCAAGTCTGCCCTCAGTCCCACGAAGAACAACTTCCGGCAGCGCTTGAAGTTAGCATCACAGAAACACAGGAATGGCTGAACCTCTGAAGAGAAGATATTCATCTGCATCCCGAAGGACCGCTCCCGACAAGAAACCACGTTCAACGGCAAAGAAAAGAAGCGACACGAGTAAATCTCGATGTGGTTTTCCACCGCTGGAGACAGCTCCTGAGGGTAAAGAGATGCAGTTTGATGCCGAGTTCGCAACTTTCCTCTTAGCCCGGTGAGTAGCATCAACGTTAGCTCTTTAGCTAAAAGTATAATCAGTGCAACGACCGACAAACATTTCAGGTGGTGATATTGACGTTGTCGACAGACGTTTTAGCGGTTAGTACAATTGTGTCTGTTGCTCTCAGCTGTTGTACAGCTAGTGACGTCAGTAATTTTAGGCTCATTTTGTAACTGATGACTGTGACTTGAGATTGTATGGACCCAGTAGACCGAGTGAATACACGTCGATCGGTTCACCATGTTGTTACCACTTTACATTACTGTTAGGAGATCAGCCATGATTGAAAGTGCACTAGGTCTTTACATTTCTCAGGAGATTTCAGCATCCCTCTGTCTTTATCAGGACCTGAGCCAGTACAGATGCAATACCGCCTCCACCTGTCTCACCAACGGCAGAGAGTCCAGACACAGTGAGGAGGGTCTAGGTGAGTAACATGCTATCATTCACTTTTAACAGTAAGACTTGTCTATACCACTGTGATTAACTCAGACCCACAGTGTAAACATGTTCATACTGCTGGTTCTTAATAATGAATATACCACTGCCTATATTGGTTATGTGTTTTACAGTATATCCATTGTATTTGTATTACTCAATTTGTTGGTTATATCACATGTACATTGAATTCTTATCACACCTAGTTGTTTACCCTTCATTTCCTTGCATTTACATGTCATAATATTCATACTGTGTTTATTTTTGCATATTCACATCTATCCTCACAATTTATTATACACACACAACAGACCTAACATGTTTGAATGTGAAGAACTTGTATGATTTAAAGGAATTGTCCTATCACATGTTTGTCTGTATCAGGACCAGAATTCCAGTCTAATCCTCACCAATGATGGACCAGCACCTGCCTTTCCTTCTGCATCTGGCCTTATCAATCAACAACCACATTACATCAACACCTTGAGGTATTATCCCTGCACATAACAGATATTGTCTGTACTGTGATCTTTTGCACATCCCCTGATCAATACCTTTTGCACAGCTTGCCCAGCAGGAGTTTTGTCATTCTAATTTTGAGCACCAAGTTTTACAGTTATGTGCTTTGCATGTTTACACACATGTTGACACACGCTCTAACTCTTCCAGTGTCTTTGTTGCCTCAGCACTAATGTGTTTGTTTTTTTATATATGAATCTCTTCTACAAATGTACATGTATCATTTGTTCAGATTTATTCATAGTCTTGTTGTTATTACAGTATATGCTAAATGAGGTTTAAGTGCATGATTGATGCATCTTTTATGTTCTGAAGTCCTTAGACTGCCTCAAACATTTCATAGTCAAGTGGAGCTGCTTGACATGTCCTTATTTTTCCTTTTGTGTTTTCATAGGGACGGCAGAATCCACCTGGGGCAAGAAATGGTAAGTGTTTAAAGCAGTTTGTATTTTGTGTAATTGCATTTCCACACAGATCATAGTTAAACGTTTAAGATGAGTTAAAATTATATTCTGATTATTACATTTAAGTTGTTGTCATATTGAATGCATTAGAAAATGACGTGGATGTGTTTATTAATATATTTGGCTTGAATATTACAATTAAAATACTTGTTTGGAGACTTCCCGTGTCTGATCTGTTGTTGAAGGAACTTATTGTGAACTGTTGTTGGCTGTATCTATACGTGTATCCAGGCTCAAATTAGGGTCAAAATGATTTTGAGCTTGTAAAGTGATGTTTACAAATAATTCCAGTGTTTGTAGTTGTAACTCAACCTTTGTAAACCTGTAAGATAAATCTGCTTGAGAAATTCAAGTTTGCGTATGTGAAACAATTGCACTTGTGTCGAAGAGATTTGTATATGTTGAAAGTCTGAATCAGAACTCAACAATCAGTGTTGAGGTTGAACAAAGACTCTGTAAAAGAAGAAATGGATTTGTCAACATCAGTTTCGTGATACAGAGAAGAAAACTGTAAAACTCTGGTCAAAAGTTCCCACAGTGACACTGAAGTGACAAGGACCAAAATTTACTTGTCAGTGTCTCACACTGGGAATGTTGCTCACTGAGTTTTCCAGTTTTCTGCTCTTTATCTCTGAACACAGACGTCCACAAAAGCATTTCTTCTTTCCCTGTGTCTTTGTTTGATGTCACCACAGATCATTTGTTCAGTTTTTATTCACACTGTCTTAACAAATACAAATCTCTTTGCCACAAGCACAATTTGTTTTCACATGCACAAACATTTCTTATGCAGATTTATTTTAGAGATTTATAAAGGTTGATATACAACTACAAATATTGGAATTATTTGTAAACATGACTTTATAAGCTCAAAATCATTTTGAGCCCAATTTGAACCGGGGGCTAAGTCGTTCAGACAAGGCTGCAACTGGGGGCCGAGCCAGCCGCCTGGTGGCTAGCTCTGCTGTTACAGAGCTATTTACATTTTTTAAATTTTTTTTTTCTCCCTGGGAAAAATGTAAATAGTTTCCATTGGGCACAATGCTGTTACTGTATGTAAGAATTCATTTAATTGGTGTTTTCTTTTATTCTTGCAGCTCGCATCATGTGCTGTGGTGCAGTGGATGGTTGGGCATTGATTGAGAAAACTAAGGTCGTCACATGATTCACTGTCACAGGGTGAGGAGCCCTGGAGAGAGATCATCAGTTTCACCAGTACCTCAAGTTCTATTAGTAAGTTATATGATAAGTTTATTGCGTTACAGTGACTCACTATCACCTCTTGAGGAACAAAGTGGTGTTACAAGATGAGACGGACTGTTCAGGACATCCAGCACCAGTTACACAGTGAACTTCTTAAGGCAATCTGCAGTCACTTATTTCTGCCCCATTAACCCCATTACCATTCTGTTAAAAGAAATGCATTTTATTAAGCGTTGCTGTATATTGAGTAAACTTTAAATAAAGGGCTGATTTGTTTTAGCATTTGTAAGTGTGCTTGATTTTTAGTTTTAATTCATATATATGTATTAGGTGAACCTGGATGAAACTAATGCAGTGTAATGGAACAGGCCTGCAGTAAATCCTCCTTCATGAGGATTATCATGTTCAGTATTTACTGAATCTGTTTGAGAAGTGTTGGTTTATTTTAATGGTCACTGAGGAGGCTGTAATTGTTATTGTGGTAATGTTTAAGTGTACTGGGATATACTGAGACGTGTTCCTAATATTTTGTCAAATCTAATTCCTATAAATGGGATGGACAAAATCTTAGGAACACCTCTCAGTATAGGGTTAGTTTATATACAGTGGTGTCCAAAAGTCTGAGACCACTTTCCCATGAAGCCTGACATGTTGCTCCACAGCAGCTGTAGTATCGTTTCATTTACAAAGGAGAATAAAAGGAGCCATTAAAAACACTGAATTCTTCAGGAGTGTCCTAGTTATGTGCCTTCAATAGCCTTGAAGGCATTATTATTCTGCATACTTATTCGTCTTAGTCATCTTCTGTCTTGAAATTTCGGCGCATAACTAGTCCTGCAGCTTTGAGAAAACCCAGACAATATATATATATATTCTTAGCTATTCAAGTAACCATGGCAACGTAAATGCTGATAAAAGGTGAAAAGATTCCCATCGAGAATGA